TATATAAACTATAAATACGAATTATATAAACTATATATGAACTATTTATATTATATTATATTATATTTAAAATATAATATTATATTATAAAATATTTATGTATTATATTATATTATAAAATATAACAACTATATATGAACTATTTGTATTATAAAAAGCCAGTTTGTTGTTAGTTGCATATATTAATATTCTATATCAATAATTTTCCACGCTATATTTTATACATTTTACAGTCATTTTCAGTAAGTTCATAGATTCGTTATACATATATAATGAAGAGCATATAATAAGAAGAATTATAAGAACATATAATAGTGAAGAAACAGCTGTTTCTAACACATAGTTTAATTGATATTATTTTTTGTTTATACATACATATCAGATATAATTTTACTTAATATCTCATACATAAGTTCTTTCAATATTACAACAATATTTCATCATACATTCCACAGTTCCAACACAATCAATTTATATAACAATGTATATAAAATATATTTTCAATACATACATGTCAGATATAATTTTACTTAATATCTCATACATAGGTTCTTTGAATATTACAACAATATTTCATCATACATTCCACAGTTCCAACATAATTAATTTATATAGCAATGTATATAAAATATATTTTCAATACTGAATTCTCTCATAGTTGTATAATGAATATTAAAATTTTCAAATAGGTACAAGCATTCTATAGTTGCATGCGCTCAATTCATCGATGGTCAGTTTTACTTGCATCAGAATGCATTACCTACGTTAGAGTAATTTACATGCAGATAAATTCAAGTGAATCACGATGAACAGAAAGAAGTATCATATCAAGACCGAACGACGAGTACAGCATCAAGCACTTTGAACCTCTTGTTTTTCTCCGTCAATGGCGTAGTCTTTTCTGGAACAGTCTAGTTTCTGGAAATTTTTCTTACTCTTATTATTTCGCAATACCATTTTCTAACAGTTTCCACTTCTGGAAATTTTTCTTGCTGCTATTATTTCACAGTAGAAAATTTTCTAATTTTTAACATGGATACATAATGTACAATTTTATAAATTCCTATATATTTTTATGCTAACATACTATATTTTTTATACTACTTCCTTTCTTTTCTTCAGTGATATCATTTAACATGCTGTTCATGTAACATAATTGCGATCATATCAACAGTTCCCCGACTAAAATTAAATCTATAAACAAATGTATTATTAAATTAATCGATAAAACTGTTGATACAGCATCATTGCTCGCAACGTTTGAGCTTTAAAATTACATTGTGGTTATTTGAAAGAACACATTAAACCTGTTAGAATAATTGAATTTTGCCTATTATTAGATTTATTATTATTTATTATTTACTAGTAATTAAATGGCTTAAATATTGAGTTGGCTGCATTTCATTTTGTAATTGCATTTAGCGTAACGAAATTGAAAATCGTTTTCCCAGTGATAAAATTTCACTGTGAATTTGAAATCAATTGAAGTTACATACCGTTTGTAGAGTTTCATCTAAAAATCTGTCGCATCATTCAATTAACTCGCGCAACTTTGTTTCTCTCCCAAAGAACTAGATACAAGTTTTTTCACAAGAAAGGCTGTTCCTCGTTTCGGAATTCCTTGCTTTTCTACTTGTACTGTTCGATCGGTCAATCGATATGTTTCAAACAAATTTCACAGATACGCGAAACATACGTTACGTGGATTGTACAACAACACTGTAATTGCAATAGTAACGAAACGAAGAAGAAATCACCACGAGTACGCGATTTTGTTCACCGAGACAGATCGTTGGATAATTGTTTTACACGGGAACAGAACGACGATCGTTCGAATCAGGAGCGTGCCGCTTTCGTAATTTTCCCGCAGAAATCCGTTTCTACGCCTATGCCTTTTACCTTTCCTTTTATCAGTCGCGACGGCGATGTAACAGTATTCGCGTACACGTGAAACCCGCATGCGCTTTGCTCGCGATGCCACGATCCGCGCAAAACCTGTCGATAGATAGACGCACGTCCGCGAGTTTCCCATTTTCGCGATAAACGAACGAAATTTCACCGTTTCTCGAGCAACAGAGTTAGGCTAGATAAATGTAATCCGGATTAATGGTCGAAGGTTACGATTAACGAGGCAAATTGGTCTGTTATCCAAAACGAGTTACGATATATAAAGATTTTTCCATCTTTCGAGT